CTGAGGATAAACTTGCAGATGATCCGGTTGAAATGGGAATCTCTGTTTCTGAATGTCCCATGGTAGTTTCTGGGAATGACTGTGTCAGTTCCCCAAAGTCCCAAGAAATTATTAATGGATCTGTTGATACTGTGAGTTCAGCAGAGAAGCTTGAAGTGGACGACAGTAAGTTAGTTGTTGAGGAAGAGTTAGAGTTAAACGAATATCATGTAAAGTTAGAGGCTCCTGAAAATGAAGCAAAGGGAAATGAAACTAATCCCGAAAATATATTTGAGCCTGGTTGTGTTCTGATAGAGTATAGAAGAGCAGAAGCTTCTTGCATGGCTGCACATTGTTTACATGGCCGAATCTTTGATGATCGGATTGTGACTGTTGAGTATGTTGCTCATGATCTATACCGGAAGAAGTTTTACATGTAGATTAGCAGTAAATGTAACATGCACCGGGAAAGCTACTGAAAATAGTTTTTTAAGGTGTTACTACTGTAATTTTACTCACTAAGCAGATATAATTGTCTGGGTTTAGTTTTGGTTTGAATCAACATCTGTAGAAAGTCCAGGCTAAACCAAAATCTCAAACTGGTGTCTGAATTTGTTATTTTTGCAGATGCATATTGGGCTTTGGTACTTCAGAAATGCGACTTCAATTAAATAGTCCCCACTTGTCAAAAGTATTTTGAGAGATGGAGTGAAAAAAACGGAGAATGGAAATGGAGAGGAGTAGGATTATTTGTGCCATCAATATGGGTTGAAACCATGGGTTGGCGTGTTTAAACGCATTTATTGGTGAGTTAGGGTTGTGATTTTCTGGCTCATTTAACTCGTGGTCTCGTGGGTTTCGTGGGTCAATCCACACGGGTTGGGGGCTTAAGTGAGTTGGCTCACATGAGTTGTGGGTTGGCCCGCGAGCCAATATACAAACGTATAGTTTTGACTTTTACTATTTTCAATATTGTCCTTTCACTACCAACATTATTATATTACAATTAAAAATTACAACCATTGCAAAATAATTATTTCTATAATAAATATTCAATAAATTGTTGAAACATATACTCTATGTAAAGCTCGATATGCGGAGTAATATTTAACATGCAATAGTCATGATTTACAAATAATTACTCAAAAGATTTAAGCAAATCTCTATTTTTATACGATGAGTCTTTTTATTACATGTACCCATATAGCTTTCAAATTTCGATATAACTAGTACTGCGTATTTAATATTTTTTAATTAAAGTTAACAAGTATCGGACGATTAGTATTGGTATTTTTTTCCATTCACCTGGGGGCTGACTCGTTTAACCCGTGAGTTAGGTGAGTTGGGGTATGGTTGTAGAAATTCTAATCCGTCATTATACGGGTTGGCCCGACCAAACTCACATAAAGCAAAACCTGTTACTGGCTTGTTTGGGTTGGGTCGAGTTGGCCTGTTTGACGGTTTGAGTCATTTGACAGCTCTATGTAATATTAGTCTTGTAAGATCTAAATTGTGCCAACTAATTTTGTAAATGCATGCCAACTAATTGTGTGAGTTTTTGTAAATTTGGCCATTACTATTACAATTGAACTAACTCCATTAATTTTTGTAACTTTGACATTATTAGAAATTAGGATTGTAACTTTCAGACCAGATAAAGAGTTTTTTTTATAAGTTCTCTCCATCAATAATTTCTCTCTCTAAAATTAGGCACATATATAAAATATCAGTCAGAAAAATCTAATTTTATACTCCTTCCCAGTAATATATTCTCATCTTTGTTTTGATCCGTCCCACTAAGATCGTTTAATGCCAAATTTGGTAAAATTTTTGTGGTTCTAAATCATTCTTTCTTTAGCTCTCTTTTTTAATTTAATAACAACCACATAAATTCACTTTTCTTAATAATCACATCATCTTTTCACGTCTCAATGTTAATATCGTGGAGGTAGAAATGAACAGATGTCCGGCATAGACAAAAAATGTTTCATATGCCACTTTAAAGTTTTGTATATTTATAAGAATAGAAGAAAGACAACCTAAGTTAATTTGAACCTAAAAATACTTAATATTAATCACAAAAACATGATAATAATCAAACAAGACTATTAAGATTTGTTATGAACTTTCATTAGTTAGTACATCTATTATTCATACACACAAAATGTAAATAGAAAAATCTTATCTTTTAGTAATTGTGGGATAATAATAGATAAAAATATAATAAAAATATAGCCAAAAATAAACCAGGCGGGTACGGGGCGGGTAATGGGGCGGGCATGTCTACTCATTAATTTTTATGTTATCTATCTCTCGTGATGTCACTTATGTTCACCATTTTGTATTGAAGATCTTCTCATTATACATTTTTAGAGATTAATTAGTTCGGCCGTGTGGATGTTGGTATTAGTATCACAAGAGAAGCTCCTCAGTATGGCTGGATTCGGTCCGGGTCGGGTCCGGGTCAAGCCTAGGCCTGGGCGGGCCGCCGGTTCTGAATAGGTGGGCCCGGGTAGCCATCGGGTCCTGTCCAGGTCTCGGGTCAATTTTTTTCCTTTTCCTAATTAACCCCCCCCCCCCCCACCCCCAACCCCCCCAAACCACCCCAAATGGTCCAAAATACCCAGCCCAACCCAAAAAGTTAAAAAAAATTGGGAAAAAAAAAAATTAAAAAGCCCGGAACCAGGCCCGAACCGGCCGGGCCGGTTCGGCTTTTGGGTGACCCGAGCCCGCACCGGGAACCCCCGGTCCAGGCCTACCCGGACCAGTCGCCGGGCCGGTTTAGCACAGTACCGGTCCCGGGCCGGTTCCGGGTCAGGCCACCCGGCCCGAGTCTAGGACTACTCCTCAGCCCTCTTTTGATAGGGGGGAGAACACTATGGCTGGACTCGGGCTGGTTCGGGCCCGGTTCGGGCCTCGGGCCAGAAAATTGGGGCCCGAGCCCGAACCGCCGGTGGCCGGTTCCGGGCCAAACCGGGCCGGGCCGGGCCGGGCCAAACCGGTCCTGTTTTTTTTGGTTCTCCTATTTAACCCCCTACCCCTCCCCCTCAACCCCAAACCACTCCAAACCACCTCAAATGGCCCAAAATACCTAATCCAACCCAAAACTTAAAAAAAATTCAAAAAAAAATTAAAATTAAAATCCGGCCCGGACCGGTTCGCCTAAAGCAGGGCCCGAGCCCGGACCGCCCATCACCCGGGCAGGGCCAAACCGAACCGCTGGACCCACCGGGCCCCGGGTCGGGCCGCCCGGCCCGAGTCCACCCCTAGAGAACACAACGAATAAGATGGAGAAGTCAAGAGTTGAAAAAGAATGAGACTGGTAAATATCACAAATGGTGGGCGGAATCATGAGGGGTGAAGGAATAAAAAAGAGAAATAATGTCTCGGATGATAAAATTGCAGATTTAAAATACACTAGGAATTTTAAAATTACAATTTTGTGAATATTTTGTCTAAATGGAAATGACATTTTCAATTTGGGACACCTTAAAAGGAAAAATTGGAATTTTATTTTGGGAATTTGGGGCAGGAAAAAAAATGCCTAAATATCAATTACGGAGTACATCTTATGTTTTTGAGAAAATGAAAATACTTAAATAACATAACTTAACTTAAACAAATTCTCCAAATAGTACTCTTTTGTCCGAGATAAGGGTTCACACTTGTCTGCTTCGTACGTCTCATTTTGAGGTTTTCGTTTCTGTTTTAAATACATACTCTCTCCGTCCCGGGGAGAAGTTCCCGGGTTGACTTTCACACATTTTTAGGAAATAAAGTTACTGAGGGGTAAATTTTACTGTTTTGCACTGTTTCGACACTGTTTGGCACTGTTTTGCACTGTTTGGCACTGTTTTAATGTAGGATAACTTTCCATTTAGGGAAATGAGAAGTTTCTTTTGGGACATCAAAATAAGGAAATTGGGAACTTCTCCCCGAGACGGAGGGAGTAGTAATTAACATTCTTAAATTGACAATTTAAGCATCACAAATTAAAAATAACACACCGTTGTATACATATTATGAGAGAATTCCTCAAACAAGACTAAATGAAACAGGACCAAAATAGGACTATAGATCTTATTCAAACATAATTTTACTTGTATACGTAGTACTACCTCCGCCCCCTAAGTTTGGGACAAAGAGGTGTGGTTAGGGATGGACTGGGCCGGGCCGAACCGGCCCGGAACCGGACCGGCCCGCTACTGTGCGGGCCCGAACCGGACCGGGCCCGGTTGGCCGGTTCCGGGCTTTTAGCCCGTTTTGGCGGGTCGGGCGGGCCGGTTCCGGGCCCTGTTTTTGTTGAACCGGCCCGGGCGGTTCGGGCCGGGCCCGGTTCATTTTTTTTTTTTTTTGGTTTTTTTCAATTTTTTTTCTTTTCCTAGGGTAGGGCTGGGTGTTTTAGGGAGGTTTGGGGCGTGGGGGTGAGGGGGGGGGGGGTAGGGAGATAACAAGAAAGTCAAAAAAAAAAAAAAAAAAAAACATTGAACCGGGCCCGGCCCGGCCCGGCCCGGTTAGGCCCGGACCCGGTATCAACCCGGGCCGGTTCCGGGCCCATGTAAGCCGAAAAAAAGCCCGCCCGGGCCCGGCCCGGAACCGGAACCGGCCCGGCCCGGGTCCATCCCTAGGTGTGGTGTGATTTTTAATAAAAAGTTGAATTATGCAGTTGATATTGAATTGATAGAGTGAATAAAGTAAAAATGAACTGTAGCCACTAAAATATTACCTAATATAGTATGAGACAAACTAAAATCTAAATGAGACAGAAGAAAAAGGTAAAACGAGACAAAGTTAAAGGGACGGAGAGAGTAGCATATAGTTTGTGTATGTCTACACCGTTTTATTTCAAATCAATCGAGTATGGGTCATCAAGTTGAATCGAGACTCATATAAACTAATATGTCGTCAAGATTAATCTGATCTCAAATTTGAAATAAACCCTTTTGAAGAGTTCGTTTAGAGATAAGAATTTTGTGGAAAATTGACTATTGACGAACATGTTTGGGACTGAAATCTAAATATTTCCATGACCAAAAAATAGCAAGCTCAAACTTCAATTGATGAAACCCTGTCTTGATAACACACTGTAAAAGATTAAACTTCTTGTACATCACACATTCACACTAACATTGATAGCCATTTCCTGAGAGCTAAACCTTAATAACTTAATAGAGATTAGCAGAAACACCTTGTTTATAGAGGCAACAAGAAATGCCAACACTAAAAATAGGTTAATCACCTGATATTGAACCCAATACAGTTCCTAAAATCTATACCTCCAAAGAGCCGGTCGATCTCTGGATATCAAGAGAACCCGAGATTCCAAGTAATCAAAAGAAGGAGAAAACATGTCATTGGGACCAATTGTTTCTAGCAGAGATGTGTCATTTGTTTGACCCTGACCTGAAGACTGGAGACTGTCGCCTTTCAATGAATCAAAAACAAAGAGTCCGAGCCCAGAAACTCCCATGACAACGTTTGAGTTCCCCCAAACTTGGGTTAATGCAGTGTGATGAGAATGAGCAGCAGATGATTCTGGCAATGCATATGTGCTAATCACGCCTGGCTTTCGCAATGAGAACTGCTGGATCCGAGAACATTGCTGCCGTTTAACTGCTGATTTCAGAGTTGTGCAGCCAAGATATATGGAATCTCCTCGAGAGAATGCTGACCGTCCATTCATGCCAATTTTGGGTATCTTTTGGCCTATGCCAGAAGGATGCCGGAAATCTAGAACATTGATGGCATCAGCAGTGCAAAAAAATCCATCATTTCCTTCTACTTCCGATGAACTCACTCTGCATTAAATTGAAACTTAAAAAATGCTACAATAAAAATGAAAAGTCTTGGACCTAACTAATTGTATTACAATTGAGGTTAAACAAGGCGGTTAATAATACAGAAAAATTCAATCACCTGAAAAATAAAAACTTCATATTGATCATGTAAAAAGAAGCAATGTGACTTCATATCATACTTGTCACAGCGTCACCTAGTTGCCGACTCCCTCGCCTTGCCGGAAGAAGAGAAGGCGTGGTTGGCGTCGTCCGAGCATGATGTTGGCGACAAGTTGTCACCTTCTTTTTGCAAGTCGAACATCAAGTCCGCAGGGCGCAGAAAAAATAATTAGGCTGGACGGACGAGAGAGGGCAAGACAGGCCAGTTCTTCTTCTTCCTGGAGTTCGCCTGCTTCCTGCGACTTGTCTGACTTGGCTCTAGGACTTGAGTTACACGATGATGGCTAGTCCGTAAGAGTATTAGGATAATTTGGGCTTTATTTTTAATTAAAAGCCAGAAAAGCCTTAATTAGTTTCTAAATCTAGTATTTTAATCAAGTAAGTTGTATATTTCGTGTTTGTATATACATATACATACATATATATATATATATATATATATATATATATATATATATATATAGAGAGAGAGAGAGAGAGAGAAAACTTCATGTCAGGCCGGCCTGACGGGCTGCCCCGTCCGGCCGAGCTTGTTTGGGCACCTTCCCGGTGGAATTTTTTGATGAAATTTTTTGAGCATGTTCCTCATCAAGTCTAGTTTGTTCATACCAAATTTCAGCTCAAAATTCGATCGGGAAGATCGTCAAATGATTTTTGCAAGTTAACTGGTCCGGAATATGTAGACCAGTTAACTTGCAAAAATCATTTGACGACCTTCCCGATCGAATTTTGAGCTGAAATTTGGTATGGACAAACTAGACTTGACGAGGAACATGCTCAAAAAATTTCATCAAAAAATTCCACCGGGAAGGTGCCCAAACGGGCTCGGCCGGACGGGGCAGCCCGTCAGGCCGGCCTGACATGAACATTCCTCTATATATATATATGTATATATATATATATAGAAAAGATCCTCTCCAGCAGTCTGGACAGGATCCGCCGTCAGAACGCCACCGTTAGAGAGTGCTTTAGAGAACTTAAAAAAAATGCTTTTCAGCTTTTTGCTTAAAAAAAGCTGAAAAAAGTGTTCAATTACCTGCTTCTACTTAAATGAAGCACTTTAAAGCTAAAAGTTGTAAGCTGGTGCAGAGGTGCTTCTATCTGCTTCTCGTTTTTTTTGTACATAACTTAAACGGTAAGGACAATTATAGTGATAATTTTTTCCCCTCAACCCATAATACCCTTCATTCTCCTCGTATAACCTCTCTCCTCCTCCGGTCATATTCCTTTCATACTTGCTTCACCAGTCCTAAACAACCTGGCCGCACACACATACAGTAGAGATGGGTGGTGACGATTATAGTAGGGATGGGCGGCGGCGATGGTTGGGGAGATGGCGGCGGCGATTGTAGAAGGGGAGAATGGGGGATGGGGGGCGACTTCAAAGCTAGGGTCACGAGATAGTCGCCGGCGAGTTGCGAGTTCTCCGATCTGTTCTGTAACTTGGCTTGCGCTGCCGTTCAAGACTCTTCTTTAGGAAACCCATGAATCGGATTTCAATTTGAAAGAATATGGAAGAGTATTATAGATTAGGTGTAGTGGATTGTGTTAGGAATATTATAATACGTACATCTATTGTAATAAGAATATACCTCCAGCTGTTACACTGTATTGTTAGAGCTGTTAATAAGTTTGTTAGAGTTGTTATAACAGCTGTAGTATATATACATGTACAATCCAGTATTATCAATAAGAGATTTTCTTCTTCCTTTCTATCTACGCTCCTTTTCTATCATGGTATCAGAGCATTGTATTCATCTTGCATTGCAGAGAACCATTGAGGAGATGAGAGAGTTTGCTTTACTGACTTGGGCTCGATATGTGCTAACAGTAAGGTAGGATTAAGTCTTGGTTTGATGATTCCTGATTTGGCTCTAGTTTGCATGGGATGAGTGTTAGTCAACTGATTAGGTGTGGAAGATGAAGAGGTGGAAGTAGATGAAGAAATGCTGTGTTGTTGAGAAGGTATGGCAGATATGGAAGGAGCAGAGGATGGATTAAAGTGATTTGAAGAATTATTGGTAGGGGTAGAGGGTGTATTGGAATGAACTGAAGTGTTATTTGTAGGTATAGAGGATGATGTGGATGAAACATGACTTTGAGAGTTAACTGGTTGAGAATCATGATGCTGAGATGGTACCAGCTCAGAAGTAGATGAGTGTGGTTGTAAAATGGTTAGGATGGCAGAATTTGGTGTAGGAACCGTGATATTTATGGGCAGGTTTGATGGGAATAGGACTGGATAAGGTCTACCAGACCCTTCCACTTACAGATCTATTGTTGACACACTGCAATATGCAACTCTAACAAGACCAGAAATCAGCTATGCTGTTAACAAGGTCTGCCAGTTCATGGCAGCACCTCTACAAGATCACTGGAAGGCAGTTAAACACATCCTCAGATACCTATCAGGGACTATCACACATGGCATCATCATTAAACCTCTTCCTCTAAACACCATGCCTCTACCTATTTCAGCTTTCTGTGATGCTGATTGGGCATCTGATCCTGTTGATAGAAGGTCCACATTTGGATCATGCATCTTTTTTGGATCTAACATAGTCTCATGGTGGTCAAAGAAGCAACAAAGGGTGGCCAGATCTTCAGCAGAAGCTGAATACAGGAGTCTAGCAGACACAACTGCTGAACTTTTGTGGGTTCAATTCTTACTCAAAGAGCTTCGAATACCATTTTCTACTCCAAAGGTTTACTGTGACAACCTCAGCACTGTGCAACTTGCTCACAATCCTGTTTTACACTCTAGAATCAAGCACATGGAAATTGATCTTTTCTTTGTGAGAGAGAAAGTCCAGTCTAAGCAGATTGAAGTTCTTCATATCCCAGCTCCTCATCAAATTGCTGATGTTCTGACAAAGCCTCTGTCTGCATCATCTTTCCTTGACTTGAGGACCAAACTTAGTGTGGTTGAATTTTCAGATCATTCACCCTAAGTTTGAGGGGGGAATGTTAGGAATATTATAATATGTACATCTATTGTAATAAGAATATACCTCCAGCTGTTACACTGTATTGTTAGAGCTGTTAATAAGTTTGTTAGAGTTGTTATAACAGCTGTAGTATATATACATGTACAATCCAGTATTATCAATAAGAGATTTTCTTCTTCCTTTCTATCTACGCTCCTTTTCTATCAGATTGGAGTTTTCAAAATGAAGAAAGAACTCAATGGAATAGAATATTGAGGATTCCAAATTGTTTTCTCTAAAATGCTTATGCTTTCCATCATGAGGCAGCAAAATTGCAGCGATCAAGGCGTCGGAGACCTATGAACTGCCGTAGGTATAGAGAGATTATTAAGGGTATATTTGTAGTTTAACAAACTTTTACATTAAAAATCATTTTTTATCGAACACTTCAACTTTAACGTTTCACTTTAAGTACTTCCATTCCAAAACACTATCAACTTTTACTAATAAACACTTTCTTTAAAATCACTTTAAAAAAATTTATAAGTCCAAGCAAACGCAAACATTCCCTTAGGCACTTAAGCATTAACTTAGGCACTTAAGCATTAACTCGTTAAGCAAGGAACATAAAGATGTAAATAACAGCACAGACCACTTGTCTAAACTCTAAAGGGCATATATGTAGTGTTTACCTTTGTCGAACTCCACCGCCTAATTCAGCATCTGTGTTACTCACATAAAGTGCTGATATCTTACGCCCAGAAGACGATACAGATAACAATGCTTGAGGACTAGGTGAATTCACGTCCCAAAAAGAAATACCTTCCATCTCTGTCGTGACTACTTTCCCTCTGCTCCTCCATTGCAATGGACTTGAATAATCCATTGCCAACAAAGGTTTTGATAACCCCCATTCCATAACATGTTCTCCATCACGAATGTCATATATCCTGACCATCTTTTGACCACTAGCTGCCGATATGATGAGTGGACCACAGGGTTTATACCACCACTGTGGGTTTTCAGAAGCCATAACAGAGGATAAAGAATTTCTTCTGTACGTAGTGTTATTGGATATGGGAGCAAGGGCGGTTCTTGCACATGTGGTGGTGATGGAGGAAGAGCCATTCTCAATATGAAAAGCTCTCACATCTCTACTATAAAAGTCCCAAGAGCAAAAACCTGAATTTACAGAATATCCAGCAGATGCTGCTACTATATATTTTGCTGAACAACCATCTGCACCTGGGGCACGTACGACCCAACAATCATGCCACATGTTTGGCATGACTCCGACTGGAGGTTTATACTCAGCTTTCCCCTAGGAAGATCAGAAGCCATTGATTACTATTTATTCAAATCAGTTACATACTTTCATGCACCGACTGGGAAGTTTAAAAATCATTTAATTATACTCTCTTTGTCCCTTATAACTTTGAAAAGATTGGGTGGCACGTGAAATAATAAAGTACAAAACTGTGTGATTGATGTTTGAGCAGAAAAGAGAAAATAATAGGAACCACAAACAAATTACTTAAAAGGGAAAGCGGAAAATTGTTCGGACCACTAAAAAAAGGAAAGATGGAAAAGTTATAAGGGACGGAAGCAGTATTTAATAGTCCCACAGCCCCATGATCAATTTCCCTTTTCTTTTTAGTTGGGAACTAAGAAAGTAGAATAATGTGGCTGAATTTATTTGGAAAAGGGAGAAACAATACCAACCCACACAACACTTTCCTCGAATGGAAATAAAAAGTTTATCTTCACACGACCTAAATAAAGTGATAAGTTTATTTTGGAACAAAGGGAGTATTTTATTACCCCCATAGTCCCTATACAAACCCCCAATTTCACCGAACACGGAGATTAAGAAAATAAAAAGTGCACGGTTGAGATTTATTTAAAAGAAGAAATGCTATGAACCACATAATACTTTCCTACAAGAAATGAGGAGCAATTTTGGGACGGACCAAATAGGAAAGTATATGGATTAACCTTATCCAGAGACCAAATATGAACAACAGATATCACATTTTCATAAGTTTATGCATTTGTGTGTGCTTAGTCTATATAAAATGTTAAAATATATAACCTGAATTTCATCATAAAAATAAGAAATATAAATGGATGATTGTTTAAAAGATACAACAATAAAAACATCCAAGCCTTAATAATCCCAAATGAGTTTGGGGTTAGCAAACATGAATTGACATATGACATCGGAGTAAAAAGTACTACCTCCATCCCCCTAAGATTGCGACAAAGGAGAGTGGTGCGGTTTTTAAGAAAAATAGAGTTATGTGGTTGATGAATTGATGAAGTATGAATAAAATAAGAATGAATTAGAGCCACACAAATATTACCAAGTATGGTATGAGATGGACAGAAAAGGAAAAAATGGGACAATTATAGTGGGACGGAAGGAGTAATAAATAATAATAACTTGAACTCTATAACTTTTTAGCATATGCATGTGGCTTTAATTAACTAAGTGGTACATCTGATTCTGAACTCACTGGCTAGATATTATAAGATTATACATCACGGTCATGAAGTATATGAGAAAATGTCACTGGCAGAGCACCTATTTTCAAGCATAAAGACAATTGCATCATATACATATAATGTATAAAAGATGAAAATAGATGACATACCTCACAATGCACAATATCATAGAAGGAACATGAACCATCATTATGTGCAAGAAGTACAGATTCTCCCTCAGAGACAAACCATCCACCAGTTGAGGTTTTATGACCAATCTCATTTAACTGATACATACAATTATCCTCAGTGTCGTCCTCTATATTAACCGACGGCATTTTATCATGATCGTCAATTTCATCGAGTTTTTCGTCGCTTGTTAACATATCATCAAGATTATCCCTCTTATTTAAAACTTTCAAGGAAGAGCCTTGTACTGATGAATTAACGACATCATCCGCATCTTGAGCATCTGTCGTCTGAGAATTGACATTCTCAGATTGAGTAGCAGCTTTGGAACTTTGATTCATATTCAGAGAAGGCAAGAACTCAATTGCTATGGGATTTTGATCAACTGGACAGGATTTCTCTTTCCTGATCGAATCATTAGTAAAGAAGTCAGCATCTTTTATTTGCTGACCCTTGGATATAGACCCTGATGCACTCACAGATGCTCTATCTCTAAGCAGCTTATGGTGAGGAAACAATCTAGCTTCTAGCTCCTTAGAGTTCAATCCGTTGCTAAATCTTTTCCTCTCGACCTCATTTTTCACATCGATCATCACCAACTCTTCAACCTTCCTATCATCAGTTTGACTTTTTGAAACCCCAATTGTCCCATCTTGTTCAACTTTACACATTGCCTTTTCTATTCCGCAAATCTTCTCCTGAATATCAGACAGTATCAACTTTGAAGCATCAGGGTTATTTGTATCAAGCATCTCCTTAGTCCTCTTAATATCTGAAGCAATCCTTATAACTTTTCCTTCCAAAAATGCAAGCTTTTCATGCAGTTTACTTGGGTAGTTGCTAACACCCATACCACCCTTCCCTTCTTCTTTGACACACTTCTCTCTCAAACTGCTTGACTTGGTCAGCAATCTTAAATCTTTGGAACCTAATTCAAGACTATTCATGCTCTTTTCCTCACAAGATTTCACCTTTCCATCATCCAAAACCCGATTCTTCAAATCAGAGTCCAAATAAGGCTGCATTTGTTGAGCCATAAAGTTCGGCCTTTTCAAATCTGAGCTCAAATTAACATCTTTATCCTTGTTATCATAGTACTTGGAGCCTTTTGAAGCAAATTTTTCCTTTATTTCAGATTTCCCATCATATTTCTGAAGATGTTCACTGCTTCGCTGGATTTCGGATTTTCCGCTAGCAGTAGTTATCCGTTGCTCCCCTGACACTTTAGAAACCCTAGGGAAATTTCGTGAATCCGATAAAGTCTTTCTGAATTCAGATGGGCTAGAACTCCTACCTCTCGGAACTGACGAAGTAGACCACCGCGCCCGTGGCTCTACACGAGATTCCCTACCTTCTACTGAAGTTGCAGACGACTTTTCAATTCGAGGCATGGCTCGAAGCGTTGGCTTCTGCTGCTGCATCGAGGATGCCGTTGCGGACCGGACCCGAGAACTGGGCCTTGGATTCTCTTTCCCGGTTGATCTCCCGATCCTCTCTCCGGACGCGTCATAACCACAGACACCAGATTTTTCGGCAAGTGGCGTAAGAGCTTTGGAGTGTCTTGTCCCCGCCGAGGAGGTGGACGGAACTGCGAACTTGCTTCCAGCGCCACCGCGCTCTTTTAGCCGTCGGAGCGAGGGCGTCGACATCTGCCTCCTACGGCTTCTCTCTCTCAAAAACTTCGATTTGATTAGATATTTTATGTTCAGTAACCTTTGGAAAAGAAAAAGGTGTGACAGACAAAATTAAAGCATTGATGATTGAGGGCGGGAGATGAATGTTTTGGGTTTTCAAAATGTTTTGCCAGTTAATCGGAGTAAAGTTTAGATGATTCAAATAGGTCGGGGAATCGAGTTGGTTCAACTTTTCATCCTGTTCTTTTAAATTGTTTTTAAAAGCAATATGGAATTGAATCAAACCTTAACATTTTTTGGTTTCTTAAGTTTTTAAAAATTCCTACAAATTACTGTCAAATTTGTGTCACATAAAGATATTCACCGTTAGAACTATACAAATACAAATATAAATACATTCAAAGTTACCATAATTGCAAACCACATATTACATTGAGTCGTTGTCAGGTTGTTTCAAACTCTCAAAGAAAGAGACTTTGCACCATTCACCATTACTTTCACAAGTCCTTCTGAAAGTGTGTGTGTTGCCATAACTTCAAGGTTTTTGTGATTAATTTTGTCAGTAATGTTAGCCATAGTACAAAGAGGTAGTTTAGGGAATAATTTTCTTGATTTAGCCTGTCTTTTCTGTGAGTATCTCTTTAACTACGTGTGCATGTTCATGGTTTTAATGTCGTGTGGTGATTATTGTAAGTCACGAAGTTCAGTTTGCTTGAGGACAAACAAAAGCTTAAGTGTGGAGGAATTTGATATGTAAGTCCATATTTCAACACACATTTGATACGTGTTGATATTGGTTTTTGGTCAATTTTCCTAGCTTAATTAAATGTGTCACAAGGCTCATAATTTATCTGGTTTTGGTGTATGTTTGGTATTTTTAGAGTCAAAATCAGAGAATTAAGTTCGTCGCCAGCGTTTGAGAAGTAATTGAGAGAGTTGAGACGCATTTTGAGAGTTGATTAGGAGCATTGGAGGTTAATGAGGTGTTAAAGACGACATTTTGAAGACAAAAAAGCTCTAGGATTGGCTACGGGATCAAAAGAAAACAAAAAGAGCTTGAATATGGCGATCAGGATGATGTTATGTCAATTGTTCAAGCATATCTTTTTGTAGAAAGATCAAAAGTACACGATTAAAGTTCCATATAAATGATAACTTCAAGAGCTACAAATCATATGAAAACACCATGACGCGAATCTGAGAGAGGCAAGGTGAAAACAGACGAGGAAGACAGATAATCGATGTTGAGATTTTAAGATGCGGCCTTGAACCATTTTATTCATATCTTTCAATTGGATGATCCAATAACAGTTTTGCAACTTGTGGTAGATAGAAGACTTCATAAGCTACAAGTCTACAACCTTAATGAAGGAAGCATAGTCAAATTGAGAGAGCAAGTGCGCACGCCGAGCACCCGAAATACGCACGACGTCGTGTGTGAAAGAGAAAAAAAATCACGGAGACCCTACTCGAGTTCGCGCACGCCGTGCGTAGGTGTCGTGCGTGCGCTCCAGAAGTCCTTTTTTTGCCAGAATTGCTCCATTTTCAATTTAAACAGTCTGTAAACCCATATTTTTGGTTATGAAACTTAGAGAGAGGCCTAGGGACGAGTTTTTACGTATTTTTCCGCTTTGTTCTTCAAGACCCTGGGATTATTTGTAAGTTCCAACTTTTTAGTTAATGACAATTAATTCTTTTCGTCTCAATTCTATTGTTGATTCAATTATGAATTGTGAGTAATTTTAATTAGGGATTTGAGATTGATGAAGAGGTTAATCATATTGTATGACTATTTTCATGATAGATTAATTACATGAAGTCTATTTAATTTGTGCTTGAATGATATAATTGATATCTCTGGTCACCTAGAACTGCATTTAGGATTATAATTGCGCATAGAATAAATTAAGAGAGATCTAATTTATTCTAAGATAATTTTCATGTGATTAAGTCTGATCTGCCAGAAATCTGATTACCCTGGAATTAATCCATGTTCTCTATTGTCATTAATTAGAAAGAACCCTTTGATTTTAATCGTTTAGTTGCATTAAAATATTCCAACCAATCCAATTTCGCACATCGCATTTTCTTAAATTTAGTTTTAATCACTGAATTTTATTATTTCCTGGTTCCATTTTTCCGTCCCTATAGAGTCGATACTCGTACTTTTACCCTTTATCATTACATATTTTTAGTGCGAGAAAACACACATCATAAGTTAAAATGGATAAGATATAAATAACATGAGGATATAAGATAGATAAAAGAGAAAAGAGATAAAGAACATAAGAAAAATAAAAGATGAAAATAACATAAGAACATAAAATGATAAATAAAATAAAATATAAAAGAAAGAAAGAGAAAGGGAAGATAATTGATCATTCGTCCACTCGTATATGTGCCCTCCACTTTGATCTGTCCAATTTCATATTCTCATCCAACCCAAGAAGAAGCATATCAATTCTGATTCCTCTGATTCAAGTATGTTTAGGTTTCCTTGTCCCCTTCATACCCGCATGTTCTTCCCAACTCTCAACTTGTCTAACATGTGCATTACTCGGTCTTCTACGCAAATGACCAAACCACCGCAATTGAGACTCATGCATCTTATCTTCTACAGGTGCTACTCCCACCCTTTGCGTGACTATCTAATTCCTCAAACAACCTTTTCTGGTATGTCTACACATCCAACGTAACAAACGCATCCCTGCTACACTCATCTTTTGAATGTGACATTGTTTCACCGTCCAACACTCTACGCCATACATTAGTGAATGCTTAATTGATGCCCAATAAAATTTACCCTTATATCTAGTCGGCATACCTCGATCACATAGAAATCCAAATGCACTCTTCCACTTCATCCACCCTGCTCTGATTTAATGTGATACATCTCCATATAATTCACCATCCTTCTGAATTATAGAGCCAAAATAACGGAACATATCACACACCGACATCTCTTTTCCATCAAGGGTAATCACACTATTACTACTATTTCTATCTCCACAAAACTTGCACTCCATATACTCAGTCTTACTTCGACTCAGTCTAAAACTCTTGGTCTCCAAAGTTTGTCACCATACTTCCAACTTTGGTTTAACCCTCGATTGTGTCTCATCAATCAATACAATATTGTCAACAAACATCATGTAACACAGTATATCTTCTTGAATTGACTTTGTAAGTTTATACATGACTATATCAAGTGAGAAAGGCCTTAGAGCCGATCCTTGGTGCACTCTGAGAGTAATAAGGAACCATGCAGTCCACCTCACACTAGTACGAAGACTTGTAGTACAAGCCTCATACATATCCATGATGATAATGATATACTTACGTGATATGCCTTTTATAGTCAAGGCCCACCAAAGGACTTCTCGAGCTACCTTATCATATGTTTTTTCTAAGTCAATGAACACTAAATGTAAATCCTTTTTAGTGTCTCTATATTTCTCTACAACTTGTCTAAGAAGGTGAATAACCTTAATTGTTGAGCATTCAGGCATTAAACCAAACCGATGTTCCAAAATTTTAACACTTTTCGGAGTTTGTGCTCAACCACTCACTCTCAAAGTTTAATGGTGTATATGCTTAATCCCTCGATAGTTGACACATTCTTGTACATCACCTTTATTTTGAAATAGGGTAATAAGGGTTCTCTTCCGCCAACTCACGACATTATGTTGTTTCTCCATATCATGTTGAATAAACATGTTAGCCACTTGATGCATCTCTCTCCCAAAGTTCCCTAGGCCTCGATTGTATGACATTTGGACCCACTGCTTTCTTCCTCCCTAGTCTCTCAAACACTCTTTAACTTCTGACATTTGGAACCTTCTTAAAAATCCCGATTTATCATACAATTTGGTATATCAAGATCATTATTACCTTGCAGGCTTGCACTGTATTCCCGTTGAACAATGTATCAAAGTATGGCCTCCACCTTTTCAAATTTGCGCACCTGCTACCATGGCTGAGGTGCCCCCCCCCCCCCCCCCCGTTTGTCACTAGCTAACATACTGTCTTTAAAATACCTAATAACAAGCCATGACAGATTGTTCCGACTAACCAATGACAGTGACAACGAGACCATGCCTCCCTTCAATTCTTCTGCCGCGCTCAGGTATCCCATCTAAAAAGTTGGTTTGAATACTTCGCATGTACTTGGAGATCATCTCTTCAGAATAAGGTCATGTCAGACCCCAATGAACCCTTGGCTCTCCACCGCGTATCTTGTCTAAAAAAAATCCAACCTTTCCATAATCTCCTCTACTCACCGCCTACCCGCCTTAGTTTTCATCCGGAATATTGCCACCAGCTTCCACTCTTTGGTTACCGCCAGCTTCCACTCTTTGGTTACCTCACTCAAAATCTTGACAGTTGCAAGATCGCCCAACTCTCTACAATTCCAATTAATCAAGCTCCCAACATGCATGGTGGGATGGGGTCAAGGGGAAATACAATGGAGTCATCACATGGGACAACTTCGAGCTTGAATTCTATGAACAATACTACTCTTCCTTTGAAGTAAATCCATCTAATACACCAAAACAAAACCTCGAATTGTGCGCAAGGAAGACCAAAACCGCCGAACCAGATTGTCAATCAAACAATTGTAAAAAAACCTAGAATTATTCCATAGCTTTTTTATTAGTAATATTTTAGGAAAAATTCTAAATAAAAAGCTACGACAACACTTTAAAAACAAAAGTTTTTAAAGTGTTAAATTATTTTTATTTTTATACATGCAATTTTGGTGTCGTATGAAATATAATAAAAAATTATGAATTTTGATATATTTTTGTAACAATCGGAGTACAAATAAAAAAGTTGTAGTACTTTTGAAAACATGAGTTTATACTTTTGGTGGGACCAAAGATGCTTTTCTCTCGCTACTAATGATGTTTTATCTTTTGACTAAGCCATCATTTTAAGTGACGCTTCTCTTAAAGCCAGTTTTGCTCCATCAATATTATGGAAAATACTTTTAATCCAATCCCAATTTCGTAAATATTTAACATTATTTTGGATTTATCGGCTTATGATGATGATGCAACCGTTCTGAGATGTGCGGATCGTCACTTCTCCTCTTTCATCAGATTGTGCGGCAGTAGGCTTCTAATTTGAGCGGCCGCCGTTTGCTTGGGATTTAGGATCATCGCCGATATCTTTTTCTCTCTCTAGGGTTGCCGCAAGG